GGTGGAGGATCTAAGGGAGGAGGTCTTTGGCTCAGAATCTCTGGTTTCGTCTCTCTAGTGTAGAGATGGATATACTAAACACAATTGACTTGGAGCTTCAATTTCAAGCAAGGAAGAAAAAAAGCACTTGTAAAGGACTGCCAATTGCACCTCTGGTTTGGTGCCACAGTAAGTGATTTGGCATATAATGTGGCCTGCTTCTTACTGATGAGAACTTGCCCTGATGCTGCACAGTGGAGTTGAAAGGGCATTTCTTTTGGAATATGCCAGCAAGCGAGAGACTAAGGGGCCCAGGGAGTTGCACCCTCTGTCTCCCAGGAAGAACATCATAGCAAGGGGAGAATAAGTTGGCCCCTTCCATCAGTCCACGGCACCGTGGACGCTCTCTGCCCTGGCTGCCCGAAAGGACACACAAAAGAATTTGGTGGCTGTACTCAAGCTAGAATTTGCTTTTCTCCTCCTTCCTCAGTCCTGTCCTTTTTGTGTTGTGTTATTTAAAAAAACAATTTGCTGAGGTCAGGAAATATTTTATTGCTGATCTTTCTAAGCTACTCTGGCAGCTCCTTTTCTTCTGAAAATGGGTAAAAATGCTCCAAGCAAGCAAACAAGCAAGAGTACAAGTTCACATACCTTTTGCAGCTTCGTGCGTATATACTGCTGAATAGAAGTACTACCCACTCATCCTTGACTTGACGGTAAACTTTACCAGCATGAAATGTTCTATCCCTATTTCCTATTACTCCCGTGCATCTGTTGCCTCTCTTAAAAATCACTGCAAGTCACCTGACTTCAAGATAATGGGTGACAAAGATGAGCAGATTTTGCACACCTTAAGGCTGCAAAGCTTCCTCCTTCTGTACATCAGACCTTTCTACATTACCTTGGTTCTGAGGAATGAGCAGCATGCAGGAAGAAGAAGACAGGCTTGAGGCACTTGCTACCTGAAGCACCTCCTTTTTCTGTGATGCTTTGGACCCACATTCAAGACAATTATTTTGGGTCTTGAAGCAGAACATCCCATTGGGCTGCTCTTTCTATTACTGAATATATAGTTTATACCCCTTCTCAGTACAAAAGCATCTCAACTTGGTACACAAAATAGAAACTTATACACAGACACACTCTCGCATATCCATATGAAGTAACAGTAGATGCCTTGCAAATGTCAGGAGAAAAGGCTTTCTAGAATTAAGTGCCACCAGAGGGAAAGCATAAAATGACGTCCTGCAATTCTGTCATATAGCCAGCTTGATAATCCCAGCCATCGACCATATCTGTAACAGCCAAGACAGCCACAGTATAGCCCAGTCCCAAGTTGTGTAGGGTCTTACACGCCATAAGCAACTTCTTTAATCTGGCTCAATAACGAGTGGGTGGGCAGTGCAACTGCTTCCACTGAGGTGTAACGTATATATAGCCAGACACTCCCCCAGCCATGTGGCTGCTGTGTTCAGCATCAGCTGCAGCTTCTAAACCAAGAGAAAACAGAACCCTACAGAAGGAGCATTACAGTGCACAGACAATAGTAGTTAGGCTGTTGAGGAAAAAACGTAGTTGGCATACCAGCTGAAGAGGCACCAAGTACATTGTGTGGTTAGAATTCTCTGAGCTATGTTTTGGGGTTGCACATATGACCATACTAGGTTAACATCCTCAGTGCAGGGGATGTGGGGAAGTTAGGTTTATTGGTTGGCAAGAGTTGTATATATTTATTATGTCAGTTATGCACATGCTACAGGGTGATAATTCTGTGGGAAGGAAGTCTTTGGTTATAGTTTTTGATAGGTCCATAAAAAAGATTAAGTTTATATGTTTGTTGATCACAGTTTGGTTAGAAATCCTTCTAAGAATTTTCTAGTATCTTCCAATGAAATTTATTACAAGTTCCTTGCCACAAAGGACAGCAATGTGTCTGACAGTATCACCAAACTCTGTGCCTGTTCTTTTTAGGGAATCCAGCTCCCACTGATAACAGGTAAATGTCCCTACTATCATGGGCTGACAAGGCCTCTGTCTTATATGGATTCAGTCTTAGATTATTGGTTTCATCCATCCCATCTCTGCATCCAGATACTCATTCACAATACACACAGCCTCTCTTGATTGAGGTCTTATGCACATGAGTCTCTATGGGTGGCAGGACAAAGGTGGGGGGCAAAGACATTATTACACAAATACTGTGACTTACATACGTCAAGGAATTTCGATTGGTGGGGTCTAGGCAGAGAGCCTTTTCTGCTGTAGTGCCCGCCGTATGGAACATCTTGCCGCCTGAGGTGCGGTGTGCCCTCTCCCTCATAGCCTTCAGGAAAGAGTGGCTCTGCCAGAAGGCCTGGGGGGCAGAGGGGGGCCCGCACCTGTGGAGATAGCTGGTGGGGTGAGGGGTTGTCGGGGGGGGCCAGCATCTTACAGGTTTTTTAGGGCCAAATTATAGGAGGTTTT